GGAAAGGAATGCGAGGATATTTGAGGAGAAAAACAGAGAGCAAGGAGGCAATAATTGAAACCATTACAATGAAGTGACAAACTAGGTGAAAACAATGGACTTATTTTCAGATTTCTCAGTTAATGATATTTTGAGAAATTGGGGTGCAATAGCAGACTCTTCCTCTAAGAAGACAAAGGAAATAGTAAATTGGACACCACTAAGTTGGGGAATGCTGAAGTTGATTATTGATGGTTGTAGCTTGGGCAATCCAGGGCCATCAGGGGGGGGGGGTAGAGTAATAAGGGATGAGGATGGTATCATTCTTGCAATGTACTTTGGACCAATAGGTGAAGGAGATTCAATCAAGACAAAGCTTATGGCTGCACTGTTTTGGTGCAAAAGGTTATGGAAATGGGAGACTGGGAGTGGAGAGACTAATAATTAAAGGAGACTCTAAAGTGGTGGTTAGTTGGCTGATGAAGGATAACAAGGCCTTATGGATTTATAAAAATGAAATTAGATGCTTCAGATGGCTTACAAGTTACAAGAAATATACAATTAACAGTTCAATGGGTACAAAGGTCAGCCAATAGTTTGGTGGATACCCTATTCAAACAAAGGGTCGATAGACAACAACTTTTTTGGGATAAATTGTAAATACATTACGTTGGGGGGAGGGATATTTGAGCTTTGCCTTAACAAGTTTTAATAATTTATACTGTTACTGGTTTTGAGTCCTGTGTCTCTAGAGCCAAGCTTTTGCCTTTGTAAAAAGAGTTAGTGCAAGTAAACTGACATGATTGGATGATAAAAGAAAAGGTTAATTGACTTGTCCCTGTGCATCAATTAGATAGCCTGGGAAATCAATTTCGGTGTAGTCCCCAGACAAGATCACCTAGATAGTAGGTCTAGGAATTGCCTCAATGATGCCTAGAGACCATATTGACTATCATGGTAAGTGAAGAAGGTTCTAGACACCTTTTCATATATTGCAGTGAGGTGGCAATGCTGTGGCGAATTTTCTTTTCTTTATTTAGGGTGCAGGTGGTTGTTCTAAGGTAATTTTATTCTGACTAGTCAAGCATTCAAGGAAGCTTAAATGGGAAGATTTTTCTGGAACTGTGTCCCATTTGCTATCAGTTGGGGTGTTTGGAAGGAAAGAAACATAGGGATAATGATCATGGAATGGGTGATAATAGGCTGCTAGCACTTCAGGAATTTCCTGATGTGGCTATAGAGAGTTTTTTTAAGCCAATTTGGGTATATTCTTAAATTGGATTGACTCAGTTACTAAGGGGGCATTGGGCAAGTCTTTTTGTGTGGTCTTTCAGGCATTTCAAAGCTTGGAAGACCAAAATTTGGTCTTTGTCTCATCTGTTGAGCTTTTATTGTGTTATTTCAGTTGGGTGTTATTTCTATTGTTATTCTTTTTCTGATATGTGATGAGGAATTTTATTAATTCCGAGATTCAAAAGTGATACAAGCATCCCTTGGAGAGGTGCGAGTTGTAGCCTCTCCCAAATAGATGACATTACAAAAAGAGTAAATAAGAAATTACAACTGAGCCCAAAACAATTGTTCTCCTCTTGTCCCTTTCTTGAACAACCTATCAGCCAGAGCATTTGTTGATCTCCCCACCCACTATAATCTCACATGCATGTTTCATGTCAGCCATTTAAATTTATTGATTTTTTACCACCACAAGCTTGCTTTAGGATCTTCAACTACCCAACCACCACCTTGGAATCCACTTCAATCAAAAGTTGCTTCACTCCTAACTTCAATCAAAAGTTGCCAATACTTTCTTTATAGGTTAACATCTAGCTAGCTGGCCAATTCCTCCAAATTCATTAAAAGAGAAATTGTGAAATAATTCCAAAGTCTTTAACCAATGTATTACCCTATTCAGCACACACTTCTTTAACTCTTGATTGCTTGTCCTTTCTTGAAAGATTCTAGCATTTCTTTCTTCCTCTTTTGTTAGGCAAGGAGAATAAAGAAGGGTTAAAGAGCATTCTTACTTCTGTTGGCATATTCCACCTGCATACAAACAATGATAAGAGCCAAACCCACAACTCTACAATAACATACTAGGGGATTAGCAAGTGGTAACAATTCACCGTGAGACTTGGAAAATCTGAGAAACCAAGGAAGGATACTGTGAATTGCTTTCCATGGTGTTGCCAAAGTAGCCTGCCGTGAGACACCAGCATCCCATCCAACTGTGAATTGCTTTCCATGGCGTTGCCAAAGTAGCCTGCCATGAGACACCAGCATCCCATCCATTCTTTGAAAAGCCATGAACACTTAACATTACTTCATGCCACAGTCTCTCTCGCTTCAAGGGCCAACACCAAAACCACTTCCCCAACAATGCTGAAATTCTTTTGAACCACAATACCACATTTCCTAACCCTAAACCTTCCTCCTCTTTACTCCTACACATGATCTCCCACTTAATTAAGTGATCCTTCTTGCTCTCTCCTAGTTCCCACAAAAATTCTCTCATTAAATTCTTCCCTAGGAGGAATCCTAAAGACAAACAGTAAGTATGTAGGTAGATTAGCTAGAGTGGCTTTAATCAAAGTTATCCTACCACCAATGTGTTAAAATGCGGAGGTGTTCTTCTACCTAGAGGCATGAGGCATAGTTCAGAACATAAGGTGTAAGCCTTCTTAAGAGGAGGGGGATGAGGAGGATCTCAATTTTCTTTGTTTTTAATAAAAATCCTTTATATTAAGAAGAATGAAGATGAATAGCACTTTTTGCACCCTAACACAAAAAAACCAAATTGGGCGCATAGAAAAGGGGCTGGGGGTCTGGGAGCTCCGCCCCCGGCCCACTTTCTTTTCCCTTATCTTTTCTTCCCTTTCCTTTCCTTTTCTTTCTTTTCCTCTTTTTTTCTCTTTCTTTCTTTTTCTTTCCCTAACCTTTCCTTTCCTTCCCCTTCTTTTTTTTTTCTTTCTTTTTTCTTTTTTTTTTTTATATGAGATATGCATGAGGCACATGAGGTGTACACCTCTAGCATGCCTTTCGCACCTGGAGGCACACCTCTAGGTGTACGCCTCCCATGCCTTTTAAAACACTGCCTACCACTCAAGGAAATGTAATTCTTCTTCTATGAGGCTAGCCTCTTCTCAAAATTTTCTATGACCAGGTTCTAGAATCTATTCTCCCTAAGGTTTGCCCCTAATGGAAGGCCTAGGTAGGACTCTTCGTTGGAACACTCTAAGCACTTTGCAATTGCCTCAGCCTCCCTCTCCAAATTAACACCTACTATGCAGCTTTTTTCAAGGTTGATTCTCAAGCTGGAAATTCTTTCAAAGCTTCTAATCAAGACCTTTATATTTTCTACCTTCTCAATGTCAGCCCCATTAAAAAAATTAGTAAATCATTTGCAAATTGAATACGAGAAACTGGAATTCAGTATCACCTCCTTTCGGCTTTGATGATGAAGGAGGTTTTTACTGTTTTGCTCTCTTTTCTGTTCTGCTTCTAGACTGTTTGAGTACTCTTTTTTTTTTGATAATTGAAAGAAACTTATTAATCAGCAATGGAAAATAGTACAATGTCCCCAAGGAGAGGCACGAGATGCAACCTCTCCAAGCTAGTTAAGTACAACTTTCGAATATACTATAACAACTTACAAAGTAGCATAAAAAAATCCTCCCTGGAAACCCCCTGTTTGGCCAAAGAATCAGCCATAGTATTAGCTGACCTGCTTACCCATTTTACCTCAATTCTCATATTACTAGTTAACCACTTTACTTTTTTGATGAGGTCTTTGTAGCCCCAAATGGTAGCATCTGTGTTTAGAAGCCACCTTGATACAACCTGAGAGTCCCCTTCAACTAGGAGATGCTCCACCCCAAGCTGGTTAGGGATCTGTTTGAGTACTCTCTCTCAACCATTATAGTTGTCTCAGTTTATGGTTGATCTGGTTCAATTTATTCAGCCAATGCAGTGTTTTTTTAATATTCTTTAATAATCTCTTTTATTTATAAACCAATTTATGGTTACGGGTTGTAGGTAGAAATAGCAGAGAGAGAGAGAGAGAGAGAGAGATCAGTGCTGCTGCCTTGTTTCAGTGGTCTGGAAGAAGACATTGAACAGTGTTTTTTGAATCTTTTTCTGACATATGAATGAATAGTCTGAAGGGTAAATATGGTATTTTATCAACATTTCCCGTCTGAGATGATGATGGAAGGGAGGTCACTGTATGTTTTTTCAGAATTATAGGGGAGATTTTTATTAAAGCGGAATCATAGGGGACGTTTTTATGATTGTCAGAAAACTCAAGGGAGGTTTTTATGTTTTCCCTTAATAATATTCTCTTTTGAAAAACCCTTGTGCCAAGGTGGAGCAGCTCTCTCCTACACCTTGACCACCATGATGCGAACCTTGTGCAAAGTTAACTACTTTTGGTAATCAACCAGTACAAACTTTGTTTAAAGTATATGATAACCATGCCATCTCTGTCCATGGTTTACTTTATGTATTTGCTACTTTTATTTGAATTGATGAGGAATAGAGAAGTCAAAGAAAGGTTGAAAAGGGACAGAAAAAGATACTGATAGCCAACAATTATATTGTTTTATTGCTTCTTTCTTAAACCCATTTGGCTACCACATTTTTTCTTCTATAACTTCTTTTCTTGATACAAATTCTTGCCTTTTCATTTGCTGAAAATAGAGGAACATGCATTCTGACAATATCTGTCTATTACTCTTCTTCACTTTCCACAAAAGTAAATATCATTTTGTTCCTTGGTTAGCTTTTAGCAATATAGTTTCTCATCTATTTCAGTACTATCTTATGGATTTTGTTTCTTGGATTGAGTTGGATACAAAATCTTGCCTTTTCATTTGATGGAAATGGAGGAACATGCATTCTGACAATATTTATCTACTACTCTTTTTAACTTTCCACAAAAGCCAATATCATTTTTTTCTTGGTTAGCTTTTAGCAATATTTGTTTCTCATCTACTTTGGTACTATCTGATCGATTTATTTCATAGATTGAGTTGAAAACAGCACCAGCTGATTTTCGTTTCCCCACAACCAATCAAACCAGGCACTGTTTCACTCGCTACATTGAATTTCACAGGTTGGTTTCTTCATGTTTGAGCAATTATTTTTGTGTTACTGCTGGTCTTGCATATTATGCATTCTATTTTTCTCGAAACAGCTTGTTGTGGAAATAATTAAGAAGCTTAACTTATGATATAAAACACAGGTGTTTGCAAGCAAAAGGTGAGGAGTCTGGTGAATGTGAAAGGTTTGCTAGATATTATCGTTCTCTCTGCCCAGGTGAATGGGTAAGTTATATATTTACTATCCAACTTGATTTTTCTTCAGTATCAGTTTATTGTGTAGGGCTTTTCATTGCAGATTGTACTTCCCTATATTAGGATTAGAAGGATCCATGTTTTTTTTTGGATTAGTATTAGAAGGGCCATGTCATGAATATCTTACTGTTTCTGATAAAAATTAGTTCATTTTATGAATCATTACAAAGTAGTTATTTTTCTAATTTTTTGACTTTTATTATTTAAAAAACAAAGCAGTACTATCCCAAAGAAAATTAAGAGAGTGTGAGGAAATTCAGTAAACAAGTCCTTTAGTTATGCACTCTACCATAGAAGAGCCCTCTGCTAGGAGAAAGAGGAATGATGAAATAGTTGGCAAAATCCAACAGTTTACAATAAGATTCATTATTTCAATCATAAATCCCAAGGTTTCCAATTTTTACAATTCACAGTTTGAATCAATTCAACAAGGACTTTTTTTTTATGAGCCAATTCAATTAGAGCTTAGTTCTCTACTTTGTCATTCCTTTTTTTTTTTAATTTTTGTTTTCTCATTGACCTCTATTTTACACAGGGATGCAAAAGGGATTGAATCGTATTTGGATAAGGGGTATACTCCGAATTCGGTCCAATAATGTAAATCCTATATCCGATTCAATCCGATGATCCAATGGATCTCACAAAGATCAATTTGAGTTTGAATTTGCCAAGGATGTTGGATATCCAAGTCTAAATGGATCCTATTTTTCGATTCAATCTGATTTAAAAATCTAACGGGGTGATATCTGAATTTGGAAAAATAGGATCAGATTTGAATTCATATCAGATCATGATCTGGTCCATTTGCACCCTTTACACCCTCTTTCTTGATCAAGGAAAGATTAATTTTATTAATTAGAGAGAGAACTAGGTACAAATTACAAGAAATAGAAAAACACAGTTGATACTACTCAATGTGTTACAATCAAGGTTTAAAGTATCGAAAACCCAAGGTGTATTGGATTGACAATTTTAAGAGAGATATTGGGATACACTTTGGATATGCATAGATGCAAATGAAAAATCAAGATACACATAAATATGCTAAGAAATTCAAATAAATCCTAAAAATATACTGCCAACAATAATTACAAGTTTTATATGATTGTAAATAAGTCATTTAAATGTAAAAATCCATAATTTAATGATTTATATGGTGCGAAATATCGGGGTACAATTGGTAAGTGGTAACCATTAAAAATGATGGAATAACTAAAACATGAAAAAACTGAAAAAAAACTAAAATGTGAATGTGTATACATCAATTTATCTTAATATTTATTAGTATATAAATTTTAATAATTATTTCTAGTGTTTATTAATAAATATCCACTATGAAAAGAGAAAATTTACTTAAAAATAAAAAAAAAACATATGACCATAACAAACAAATGGGTGTGGCCTAGTGGTGAACTTATGGTTGTTAAAATCTAGTGACCAATGTTCAAATCTTGCTATTGCTAAAGTTTGCATTTTTTGTATACTAACAAAATGAAATTAATGATAGAGAAGATCATTAATTAATGGAATTAATGAGAGAATTCGAATTAGGTGCTAAAATTTAAATTTAAAATTTTGAAGTTCCTTAAATTATAGGAGTAATTAACTAATTAATGAAAGAAAAATTAGACTTAAATATAGAAATAATTAACAAAATTATTGTATCTAGGCACCTAGTGGTAGATTTTGAACAAACATATATAGCTTATACAAGGTGTTCCGGCACGAAGTATCAGGTTGTATGGGACTGTTTTGGGCCTGTATTGGCCGATACAGTGCTGAAACAGCCCAATATGGGCCTGTATCGGTGCGATACATACAAAAAGAAACAGAATTGCTGATTTTTACATGTTCTGTGTATCGTGCTCTTGTCGGAACGATATGTATCTGCTGTAAACTCCTTGTTTAGCTAGTGAGTCACATTTTAAATACTTGGAGGTTGAATAGGAGAGGTTTTTCTTCGAATTTAACTTGATCTTTGTGAGATCTGTTGATTCAATAAAGGCTATAGGCCATGATCCAATGGATAGATGCCCAAAAAAGTTGCTGCTTGTAAACTCCTTGAAGTAGTGCTAGTAGCTCAGCCTTATTGAATCGCCAACCCCTATAGGCCTTGATCCAATAGATAGTTGCTCACTATTTTCCTAACAAAGATAGCACACACGAGGGGAGAGGCATTTATGTGGCCTCCTCTTTTGAAGCATGTCACAGCTGTTCACCTTTCCAAGAAAACCCTCCCAACACAGAGCTTGAATTTTGGGTGGAATGGGCTTACTCCAAAATCGCCACAATATTCTACCTCTCTTCTTTGTCCAACTTTCAGTAGAGAGGAGTTGAAGAGGGTTTGTAGCCTTGGTGGGGGTGTCCACCCAAATAGAAGAAACAAAGGGGTAGGAGATTAATAAGTGATAACAAGACTTACAATTGGCTTTACAAAGAATGCACCAGTTAGGAGGCAAGCACCAAAAATACTTCTTCCTTTGAAGTTGATCGCAAGTGTTAATTCTTTCCAAAACTATTTCCCAGCATAGTGCCCCATCCCATGTCAGCACCGATTTCCTCCACACTTCTTTAACAGGGAAAGAAAGCTCAGGACTAGAAGAATGTTGTATTAGGGCTTTGAAGAATGAGGTGCAAATAAAGGAACCAGAGGAGAAGAGGGTCCAAATCCAAGAGTCCAACTTAGAGGGATCTAAGACAACCATTTGTAGAATTTGAATCAAAGCCAAAACATTGTCCATATTAGATCCTCCAAATCCCCACCTAAACCCCAAGTCCTAATTAAGTTCAGACCCTAGACCAGAAGAGGTAAACCCCCATCCACACATGTTCCCAAATCCTTACCAAAATTTCTAGAGCACAAGTTATACCTAACAAAGGGTGGGTAAATCCTTGCTCGAGCAACTAGTGCGGTGTCTTGGAAAGATATTTTTCCTAATTTCATGGTATATTGATTCCTTTTTTTTGTGTGTCTGAGTATGTCTCTCCTCAAAATCTGCCACCCTTTATTTAGGCATCAAGCATCTACCTTAAGAGGCTATTACCCACTTTTTTAATCAATAAGGCCATTACTCACTGTTGCTTCCAGCTATCTGGGTTCTTGGGAGGGGTTGACTGGATATGGACCTACCTTTTGAGCCTTGTTTTGCACAAAGTGGAGTTTTGGACTCAAAGCCATGTTCTCACACTTATCATCCCGAGATTTTACCATTGTACCAAGCAATGGCCCTATCTAGCGTCTACGTTCATGTTGTTTTATTTCTCCATGGTGCATTACAGCAATATCTTAACAATGAAGACAATGAAGTTCAGCATTTCTAGTTATTGTTATTTTTTTTATTGCAGATTGAGAGATGGAATGAGCAGAGGGAGAATGGAACTTTCCCAGGCCCTCTTTGATCTCAAGCGGATTTGACATTTTAATATGCAGTTAATCTTCTACATTGGAACTTCATAATGCTTATATCTTTTATCTGAACTATGTCATGGTTGCTACACCAAAGAACAGTGAATCAATAAGACAATGGAAAGTGCATTGAGTCTGTTGAATGTTATTGCTTTATTCTTCTTAGAACTATGGTGCTGAGCACTCAGCAACTGGTCGAGTATTTCTGATGTTCAATATTTGATTGGTTCAGTGACTTTCTCCAAAGGCCATTTAGTCAGGTCCCTTGGTTCTTTGCTACAAGGGGCATGACATTGGAACGGGGTTGCCCCTTGATGGACCAGGCTGTAGGGGTAACCGAAGATTGTCTCCTCAAGCCTATCATGGTTATATTGTAGATCTGATTTAGATGTGGATATGGTGCTTGTTTGTTGCTTATATCTACAATCTTCCAGCCACTCTCCATGTTCTGGGCAATGTTTTTGAAAAAGGTAAAGTAATTCTGGTGCTTGTTTTTTTTTTTTTTTGGAAAAAGGTAAAGTAATATTTATTGAGAAAGAGATGCACACAGGAGGCTGAGATCAGTCCCAGAATAGACTGACTGATCTAAAACAGCAGATACATGAACCATCAAGAAACAGAAAATAAAACATCTGACACATTACCTATCTCTAAACTCAGCAGTCACAGACAGCCACAAAACCAGCTTGCCCACTAACTTCTCAGATAGGTCCTCCGGACCAAGAGACTTATTATTAAAAACCCTTATGTTCCTCCCGGTCCGGATGCATCAGATAACCACAATTGGAATCAGCTTCCAGAGAATCTTCCTTTTCTTGCTCAAACCCTTAATCTGCCAGCAGTTTAACAACTCTTTTACTGACCTTGGCATCACCCAGCTAACCTTCACAATGTTGAGGAGATGATTCCACAAATGAGCAGAAAATGGGCAGTGGATGCACAAATAATCAGTGGATTCAACATTGCAACCACATAAACTACAAGACAAGTCTGAAACCTGGATGCCCCTTCTCACTAGATTTTCCTTAGAAAGGCATTTATTTATAGCCATAGTCCAAACTAGAAAACATGCTTTTGACGGGCTGGTTGGATTCCATACTTGCCGAGCTGGGAAATCAGGCCCACCCTTCCTATCAAAGCAGCCAGGGATTTTACAAAAAACTGACCATCAGAATTCCACCTCCAAAGCCATTTATCGTCCAAATTATAATCCAAAGCTTAATTTTGGAGACATTACAAGAGATTCACTGCCTCTTCCACCTCCCAATAAAAAACATTCCTGCGAAAAGAGGGAGTCCAAAGAACTGAACCACTCGAAATGCTATAACACTCGGCAACTGAGGCCTCTTGATCTGAAGCACATTGAAATAGGAGCAGGAAGGACTCAGCAAGAGGAACATCAGAACACCAAGGGTCCTTCTAGAATTTGGTCCTATTACCGTTACCCACCCTAATTGAGACTCCCCTGCCCAAATCTGAATAGGTCTTCATTATCCCTTTCCATAGAGAATTACCCTAGTTAGGAGGAGGATCCCTAGTTCTCCAATTCCTCCAACTCACACCATATTTATTGGCAATGAGAGATCTCCACCACGCATCAGGCTTTACAGAAAATCTCCAGATCCATTTACCAAGCGGAGCAGAGTTAAAATTCTTCAGCTTCTTTATACCTAACCTCCCATCTAATTTGGGGAGGCAAACTTGCTCCCAACTCACCAAGTGCACTTTTTTTCTCCTCCCAGCCTCTCCAAAGGAAGTTCCTTTGAAGTTTTTCAATCTGATTTGCAACCTTCTTAGGAATATAGAAAAGAGACAAGAAGTAGATAGGAAAATTGGAGAGAGTACTCTTAATTAGAAGATATTTTGTCTTCCAAGAAGCCAGCTTCCTTTCCAATCTCTCAATAACTGGGTTCCAAATTGCAGAGGAACCACCACTCACCCCTAATGGGAGACCTAAATATTTAGTTTGGAGGGACCCAATCTAACAAGCCAAAAAATCAGCACACTCAGCTAAATTAGACACTTGGCCAATTGGGATGATTTGGCTCTTGTTCCAATTTACATTTAGCCCTATTATCACTCAAACCAAGATAGAATCCCAAGGACTAGTTCCACCTGAGAGGGAGAGGCATCCACAAAACATAGAGTATCATCTGTAAATTGGAGAATGTTCCACCTTCTCTCCCCCCGGCACAATTGCAAAATCATCCCACTCTCTCGAGCTTGCAACCTTCTTACAGAACAGAGTCAAGATCTCCATTACACATATAAAAAGAAGAGGAGATAAGGGGTCTCCCAGCCTAAGGCCTTTGGAACTATCAAAGAAACCTGCAGCTTGCCCATTTACTAGGACTAAGAGCTTTGGAGAAGTGATACAGACTTCAATCCAATTTCTCCATTTCTGCCCAAAATTCATCTGGTGAAGCACAAGGTCCACACATCTCCAGTTAACATGGTCATAGGCCTTTTCAATGTCAAGTTTACAGATCAAACCTAGTGAACCTTCATTTTTCCTTGAATGAATGAGTTCATTAGCGATCAGCACCGAATCCAGCATCTGTCTACCCAGAATAAAAGCACTTTGGTTGTTTGAGATGACATTACCAAGTACTCCTTTTAATCTTTCAGCAAGCACTTTAGCTAGGATTTTATGAAAACTATGTAGAAGGCTAATCGGCCTGAAATCCCTTGTATTGACTGCACCTTCAATCTTTGGAATAAGGGTGATGAAAGTAGTATTCAGGCTTCTTTGCAAAGAACCCCTCTCAAAAAAATCCCAGAAAACATTCATGATGTCCTGTCTCACCACATCCTAGCATTTAATATAAAAGAGATTTGAAGACCATCGGGGCCAGGAGACTTCTCATCAGCCAATAACTTGATAGCTTCTTTGATTTCCTCCTCAGAAAAGGGACCCTTAATAAGGGAAGATTGCTCCTCACTCAACTGGTTAAAAGGAAAAGGTCTGAAAGACCAAGATTCCTTATACAACTTCTTATAAAAATCAAATGCCACAAACTTCATACCAGTCTCAGAGATACCTACCCTGCCCTCCCCCTCCATTCTGGTTATTACAGAAGCTCTAGCTCTAGCTCTAGCTCTAGCTCTAGCATTTGCCATTTTGTGAAAAAATGTGTATTCCTATCCCCCTCTTTCAGCCAAGCTACTTTGGCTCTTTGCCTCCATTTAATTTCTTCCACCACTGTCAATTTGTCAAACTTCAACTTGGCCTCCCGTCTTTTTAATCTGAGCTCCTCAGCTATGGGACCAAGTTCTTCAGCTGTATCTATTTTCCTTAATGAAACTCAAGAGAGCCTTCTTCTCTGTGTCTGAATTCAAATTCTTTTCCAACTTCCAAATCCTTAGTCTTGCTTTGATGGCCCCCAATTTTTTTGTCAAAATGAATGAACTGGTACCCTCTACCTGCAACTCCTCCCAAACTAATTTCAACAAAGGAACAAGATTAGCATCCTCAAATCAAGCATTCTCTAATTTAAAAGGAACTTTAGCTCATTCTAGTTCCACAAACCAGCTGAATTGGACTATGATCTGACACTGGCATAGGAAGAGCAATCTGCTTAAACTCCGGGAAAACATCTTCCTAATTAGAGGTAACCAGAAACCTGTCCAGCCTCACTAGGGTAGGAAGATCTTGATTGTTGGTCCAAGTAAACATGTCACCATAAAGAGACAGGTTTTGAAGTTCAAATCTGTTGATAAACTCCGCAAATTGCACCATTTCCCTCGATCTTCTCCCACCCGAACTTCTCTCATCCACCGACAATGTGACATTAAAATCCCCGCCGATAATCCATGGACAAGAAAGATTACCCCTAGCCACAGCCAATTCCTCTCAAAATTCCTCCCTCCGACTTCGGTCATTAAGGCCATACACATTAGTTATTTGACAAACATTACCATCAGCAAACTTCAAAACAAGGGAAATTGAAAAATTCCCAATCTGAAATGAAATCAAGACTACAAACTGTCTGGTCCCACATGCTCAATAACCACCCCAGCACTTCCAACAGCATACTGTTCAGCGGACTGTGGAACCAATGATATTTAATACTGGCTCCATGTATTAAATTCATGGGTCCCACTAAAAAATGCGGGCTCCATGTATTTAATACTTGCGTAAAATGTTAACCACAGCCCGCTGAACAGCTAAACTGTTCAGCTTAACCTTGGTCGTTTTTGACCTGGGTTCTCAATCATTAAGACTTTAGGCTCAATTTGGGAATGAATACAAGTACAAATGTGTGCAGTACAGATATAAGGTTTAAATTGCTATATTATAAGGCTTTGTACTGGACATATTTGTATTTACACTCTTCCCAAACCGAGAAGTGAGCCTTAAATCTCCCACAATAAAATAAAATTAATCATTTGAATTTATAACATCTAAAACCTGCCCTTTGGGTTGCATTGATGTCAAGGTTCAAGGTATTGGTATTGTTAAGAGTAGGACAATTTTAAGAATATTCTTAGGAAACACATGATGTGGAGTGTTTAGGATATGCACTATGTCAGCAAGCTCACATAAATATCACAAATGCATCATGAGCACTAAATTTGAGCTCAAACAACCGTTTATGTATTAATTCATAAGAATAGATATATTTTAGGGTAAACTACTTATACCTCCCCTTGTAATTCTTGACAATTGCTTTAACCTTCCTCCTTTGAACTTTGACCTTTTCATCTATTCGTACAAATGGTAGTGGTCAGTTTGTATAATTTATCTAGAATGTTGGAAGAGGTTTTTGGAGAGGTTAAAGTTAAAGAGAGGTCAAAGCAGCAGCTCAGATTTCTTACGTTTTTCATTGCTTTTATTTTTAATTAATTTGACAAAAATAATAAAATAATGTATAATTTCTGTCTAATGGAACAAAAATGTTTGGATGAAAGTTATATTAATCGGGACATGTCATACAACTATTATATATTCATTTATTGTGTTTACGTAATGTGCCTACTACATCCGGACCCCGACGAATTGGGTATGATTTAAAAACTTTCCCAAATATTTAGATTTAAGCCTTCTTCAAAAGATTGAAACTAAATGCAGTTGAATAGAAGGTTTAAAAGACTTAGAGAGAGAGTGTGTGTCTGTGCGAATAAAGCAATTGTAAAAATGTTTCAACAATAAGTAAACTAAGCAACTGCTTTAAGTAAAATAAGATACAGTTAAACAAATAATGTAAACAAGTAAATCAAATAAGTGCAGCAAATATATGCACGTCACTACATATTGCAGAAAACAAAAATAAATGAACAAGTAAGGAATACAATTAGGTGTGATGTATTATATATCAGCCACAATGAATACATGTTTGATAAAGTTGATGCAGATTAAGGTTGCATTTGATACCACTGGTGTTCTTACTTGAAACGTTTTGGGTCGATAAATACAT